GCATGTATCAATTACAAAACTGTTCTTTGCAAGCTAATGTAAAAATTGTTCCTGTTATTGATTATCTTCCAGGTAGGATTTAGGTAAGCTCTGTCATCTATCAGCTGGGGAGGGCTGGCAGGTATTCGGTGAGCTCATTGCATAACACACTTGTTTCCCCTCCCAGACTTGAGGACACTGAACAGGATTATCTCCGTCAGCATGCAGAAAGATGATCAGCCTAATTAAAGGTGATGGAATTATCAACTAAGATCTAACAGATCTGGTTAGTTAATAGGACTCTAGCCCAATATTTTTATGTGGTCAAGCCTCTGAAGATTTCCTGTTATTTAAATCTTAAATGTTTTTTAAATGCCAAGGAAATGACATAATTACTACTCAATTACCCACTTTTAAGCCACATTCCTGGAAGTTTCTTTCTCCCTAAAAGTGAGTAAAGTCTGCTGTGCCTGTCAACCTAGCAACAAGGGCCAGTTGCTTTGTTTCTGGTTCCACTGACTTGGAGGCATGTCCTGCCCAAGGCAAATGCTGGAAGCTGGAGCAGGGAAGCAGGGCAAGAAGGCAGCTCCAGGGTGTGTGGTCGGGGCTCCCATCTCCTGTTCTCCTCCTACCTTTGCATTCCTAATGCCTGTGACGGGTGTGGCTCGGGGAGCTGGTGCTGAGTATGCAGACAGTAACAAAGCCCCTTTTGGCTGTCACTCCCCCAAATCTCTTAGGCCTTGCCTCTTATTTTCCCTCTCTCCTCTGGCCCTTGGCACTTGTCTCTGGCACTTACCCTGGCTCTTCAGGGGTGCTTGATCACACGTCCCGTCTCAGACCACCCAGTCTGAAACTGAACTGTCTCCCCCCTTTCTGTTTCCTCCTTTGTCCTCATAGCTCTTCCAAGAATTTAGCACACTATAAGCATGCTTGTTTCTTTTTTGTAACTCTGCTCTGAGTGTCAGCTCCAAAAGCATGTGAGTACTGAGCTTGCTTACTCAAAGCTATATCCTAAGCATCTCGCACAGTATCTGACACACAGTAAAAAGCCAAGTGTCTGTTAAATGAATGAAAGAAAGTGAAGGGACAGAGAGATCATGTGTCCAGCTACCCTCCCCAGGACACCTCAGGGTCCCAGTAGACTGGACTCTACTGACCATGGAGTCCAGGCACTCTCCCTGCCAGGAAAGTTAGCTCTGCTTGCCTGCATAGCCACTTGGCAAGCTCTCAGGAAAGAATGAAGGATCTTAACCATAGAACACTATGTACCATGTGAGGAATAAAGAACATCAGCCACTGAGTCCTTTGCCTGAGAAGCCATCAACTATAAAGAAATCTGTATTTTCAAAGCTTATGTGACAGGCGGAGGTGAGTTTACAGGTTCCCAGCTCTGCAACCACTGTGCCAGGGAGAATGAAGCTCAGCTCTATAACACTATCCTTAGGTGTGGATTTGAAGTCGCTGGGTGGTCACAGATACAGTGACAAGGAAAGCAAGTTAGTCATCATGAGCCAGAGAAGTGGAGGGTCACATGCTATTGACTAATCGGTCCTCTGCTGGCCAATCGCCATCCCCAGAAGAAGGTGCCACTGACCTAGCTTCACATCAATAAATGTCTATCTGGGCATATCAGCTGCTGTAGCTGCTGCCTGTCAAGACACCCAGTGCTGTCCATGGGCACTGGTGGCCAGGAAACCTCCCTCCTTTCCTCTTAATAATGTCACAGAAGAGGCAAATGCCGTTTCTGACAACATAATGTTAGCTTCACCAAGACGTGTCTCTGAATGCTTGGCTAGTTACACAGTGCTGCAGCTGAATGCATTTCCTTACTGAAGAGACAACAGAGGGCGTCAGGAAATTAGAGGTACCACACTGGGATGAGATACACAATCCTGCCTCAGATTGTGTGCCTGCTCATCATCTCTCCTCTAGAGTCAGGAAAAAAGAAATTGTTTGGAGGAACCATTTTCATTCCACACTTAGATAAAGCCAGGTGGGCCCATTCTATTTGCCTGGAGCCCAGTAACGCACTTTGCTCAAGACAGAGTCAGAATTCAAGTCATTGGTAGAGCTAGAGGTCAAGGTGGCTGTGCCCCAGGACAAGCCCTTGTTTGTTTGAGTTATCACCCTGGCAACCATCTCGGGCTCTCTGCTAGGTCTAAAATTGTAAATTTCCTCTTAAACCTGCTATAATTTTCAGTCTGTCCACAAGACTACTGCAGGGGCACGTCCAACCTGGCGTGAGACGCCAGTTCTGAGCTACCTCAGGCCTCAGGTAGCAGGCAAGGCTGGAAGGAGTCGACAAGTCAACAACTGGTACAAATGACAGGAGTTCTACACCAGTGCCGACACTTGATTAAGATGTACTGTATGGCTTCGGTCCAGTTAATACAAACCTAGACATACCTGGTTAGAGGAAATCTTAATGGGGAAAATGCTTCCAAAAGACTGGCCTGTGGGTATGCCTTTGGGATGTTTTCTTAATTACTGATTGATGTGGGAGGGCCCAGAGAGGCAGTACCACCCTTGGCAGGGGATCCTGAGTTCTGTAAGAAAGCAGGCTGAGCAAGCCAGGAGGAGAAAGCCAGTGAGCTGCAATCCTCCATGGCCTCTTTTCCAGTTCTGCCTCCAGGCTCCTGCCCTGACTTCTTGCCCAGACTTCGCTCAGTGTTAGGGTGTGGTCCATGAGTTGTAAGCTGAAATAAACTCTTTATCCCACGAGTTGCTTTCAGTCATGGCATTTTATCACAGCATCAGAACCCTAACTAAGACAGAGGGTGTCTCAGTAAGCTTGGAGGATGATGGGAGGATGGCCAGTATTCCCACACGGATTCAGGAATACCAAAGTATTCCAGAGTAAGAGGGAGTATGAGGTAAGCGATGAGATCAGTATGATCCAAGACGCAAAAGCATGGCATTAAGGAGCACAGGACCTGTGGACTGACCAACACAGCGACTTGGGTGGTCTCAAGACACAAGAGACCAGGTAACGCTGGACAGTGGTGGTGCACATCTTTAATCTCAGCACTTGGGAGGCAGAGGCAGGTGGATCTCTTTGAGTTTGAGGCCAGCCTGGTCTACAGAGTGAGTTCCAGGACAGCCAGGGTTACACCGAAACCCTGTCTTAAAAAATCAAGTGGGAAGGGGCACAGGCTGTAACGGAGTCACTAACACCGTTTCCCTCTGGACTGTGCTGGGGAAGAGAGGGTCTAATGGTAGATCATGTAGAGAAGTGGCCCCACAGAGGTTTCACTTGGTTACATAGCTGGGAGAGTGGAGAAGTGAGAACTCTGGGAGCTGTTTAGGAGGCAGCACAGAACATCAGGACTGACTTCTGGGCAGCAAGGGGGAGATAGAAGAGGGGAACAAATTTAGGAGGGTTTTGTGGTTTTGGCCAAAGGTGTGGACCCACCAAACCAATGGAGAATACTGAGACTGAGGTACGGTGGCTGGGACAGGAGGGGAAGGAAGGACAACAGAATTCCATTTTAGCTGGTTTGCTTTAGACACACAGAGACAGACGGTGTGCTGGGGGAAGAGCACCCAGGACCAGGTAAGTGAATGGGATTGAGAAGCCATTAAAGAGGACTGGACAGAGGTACGAAGCTGCCCATTTGCTTCAATCTTCACTGGTAGGAAGACTGGTCCTCAAATTAGAAATGGCAGAACAAACATAATAAAGAGAAAATTGAAGTCCCAAATCGGTGAAGTGAAAGAGAGTGTCTAGTCAATTTAAATGATTTCAAGTCTTCTGGCTCAGATGAGTTACACCCCAAGCCTGCTGCAAGAAATTGCAGATGTAATCTCAGAGACACGATTGGTAATCGTCAAGAAATTGTAGGGAGACAGTGCCAGAAGACCAATGAAAGACAACTGTTAGCACATCTGTGAAGAGGGACAGACTGTAAAGGAAATACAGACAGTTTACATCACCAATGACCAAAGGCCTAGGAACGCACATTAGGCAGATGGTGGGAACACGGTAGTCAATACACACAGCTCAGAAAACAGTATGTCCCGCGTGCTTAGCTCCATGCTTCATCCCCTGTGATGCTTGGCCTATGCTGTAGCTCTGATGAAATGGGGCTAACTGAAATGAAGAAATCAGTCTCAATTCAAGACATCCGGCACTGATTCCTCAGCCCGTGTGGGAAGCACAAAGCAGCCTGAGTTATGGTTGCATCCTGAGCACAGACAGGCTATGTCTGCTACACTGCTTCCCTCTGCTTTCCTCTGCTGGCTCTTTCTTCCTACAGATTGTCTGAGACGAGGGAGGAGTAAGCCAAGTGTAGAAAAGCACCATGTGGGGGACAGTCACGACCTGCCAACAACTCCATGCTCAGCAGACTGAGGTACACAGACATTTATTTTTTTTTTCCTATATGAGGCCTTCAAAGGCCTCTTTAGAACCAAGGGAGGAGAGGACAGGAGGAGAGGGGAGGGCAGAGGATGAGAGGAGAGAAGATGGGAGGGGAGAAGATGGGCGCGGAGGGAAAACAGACAATGAAAAGAAATAGTACCTACCACTGAGAACTAACTTTGGGGGGGGGGTATTAGTCTCATACTTAAAAATTAATAAAATCCTGTAAGTCAAGCAAAGTTAAAGTCCCCTTTTTAAAACAAAATGGATCAAGAAGAAACTCAAACACAAAGCCACTAAAAAGACTTTCTAGAACAAGGCTTCTTATTTGTGTCTCTGGTTCATATACAAAGGTTAAGTTTATCAAAGCTGGAAAAAGCTTTTAGCCTACAATACCCCTCAACATGACCCTGTAAGCCTCGAACCCACACATGAGGTTGCAGGAGTAATACCCTTCGGAGGGAGGCTTCTCATTCAGTCCTCTCTCCCTGCTGACTTCAGGTCTAAATTCAGGGTACCTTACTAAACAATCCAAACAGACAGCTGTATCTCCCTGCCCTGCCTCCAATCCTTCTAACAAACAGTAGAATCTCTTCTCTAAAGCTACTGGTGATTACGTGTATCTACACTCTTTGAACTAACAAATGCAAAGAAATCTTACCGTATCGACCCAATCATGTATGGCTGTGCCAGCTGAACCACAATTGCACCACTTCCCAGCTGATGACACGTGTAGCCAGAATCCCAGTCATAATTCTTAGTGTCCCCATTCAGCAAGGCATTTCGGCTCCGACTGACTCCTTCAATAACACTGGCACAATCAGCAATCGTTGCAACATTCTCCATGGGAACTGTGAATCCAAAGCACAAGATCCAGCATCAGGATAAGAGAAGCCAACTATATCCCTATAGCATGCTCAGAACAAAACTAATTAATTAGCATCTCAAATCAATAATAAAAGGGAAACTAGAACATCTCGATTATCTTCAGATAAGAGTTTCTATGTCAAATAACTAAACAAGCAAAAACTGATCTTCAGGTTGGAATATCTAAACCATATGTAGCAATTAATTCTTAAGTATTGCATTATAAAGAGCATATTGATAACAGAATGAGAAACTACATTGTAAGTAAAACTCAATGAGAAACTTTTCATCAGTTTAGATGAATTTTTGTTTGTTTTTCAAGACAGGATTTCTTTGTGTAACAGTTCTAGTTGTCCTGGAACTAGCTCTTGTAGATCAGGCTGGCCTCGAACTTACAGAGATCTGCCTACCTCTGCCTCCTGAGTGCTGGGATTAAAGGTGTGGGTCACCACTGCCCAGCCCAGATGGATTTTTCAAGTTGTTTCTGGGAGTTAAATCCAGGTCCTTGCACATTCTAAGCAGGTATTCTATCACTGAGCTGTGTCCTGGCCAGTATCTGGTCTAATGAGCTACAGCTGCATATATGTTGCATGAAAAACTTAGACATCAAGCAATTCAAAATCTGTAGAGTATGAAAGGGGCCCCAGACATGGTATCAGTCCCTTTTCAGAACACACAGTTGGTTTTGCATGACCCATTCCACTGTGTTTGCTATTCAGTGTATGGTCACACAGGGGCTTGCCTTTGCTCAGGAGCTGCAGGAACTTGAACAAACAGCTGTGTTTTGATTCTGAGACTCTCTTTACACTTCAAGACCATATAAAAGTCAAGGGCTCCCACAAAACTATAGTTGTTCAGTATGACAGAGGCTCTAGAAATATTAAGATACCAATGATAAAAGCCAAGGGCATGGAAATCCCTGAGGCTGAGTATTCATGTTATGCAATCAAAATTTACAATCTTCTTTAAGGATTTGAGTCATTTAACCCAAATCTACTGTTATCCACTCAGAAAAGACAGACAGAAATAGCACCACCATATAACCTCACGCCATCTCACAACTGAGTCTACTTTCAAATGAGACAAGCCTGTATGGATGTCTTCGCCAACTAATTGCTCTGCTCTCCACAGATATGGAAGAGCACCCGCAGACAAGGAACATGGGGAGGGGAAGGAGGTAGGGAAGTGGGTTTCTGGTGATGAGTCCCTTATTCCAAAGCAAGAGTAAAAACACTGGTGCAATTCCCCATGAGGACAGTCTCCTGGCAGAAAGAACTCCGAAAGAAGCTCTCTAGACTCTTAAAACAGGAGACTGCTACCATAGGGGATAAGCCCTGCTGAGTCTATCTCCTGTGACTTGGAAGACAGGATTAAAGGAAGCAGATGATGAAGAACACTGGAAGCAAGACTCAAGATCCTGGGAAGTAGCCTGGCAAGAGCACACAGCCCTAGCCCTTAGAAACATGGGGCAGCACAAACAGTCATCCACCCAAGTTCTGCAGCAGAAATGTGATGTGGGATTCCCTTCTGTATGCTGTGAATATGTTTTATTATCATTAGGTAATAAAGAAGCTGCTTTCAGCCAATGAGTAAAGCCAGGCAGAAAATCCAAACAGATGTTGAGAGTGAGTAGGTGGAGTCGAAGAGACACCATGTAGCAGCCAAAGGAGAAAGACGCCTACTGGTAGGTCACAGCCTTGTGGTGATATAAAGAGGAATAGAAATCGGTCAATTTAAGACATAAGAGTTAGCCAAGGGGGGCTGGAGAGACGGCTCAGAGGTTAAGAGCACTGGCTGTTCTTCCAGAGGTCCTGAGTTCAATTCCCAGAAACCATATGGTGGCTCACAACCATCCATAATGAGGCCTGGTACCCATGTCTGGCCTGCAGGCATACATGCAGACAGAATACTATATACATAATAAATAAATAAATCTTTTAAAAAAAAAAGAGTTAGCCAGTTTCTGTGTGATTATTTTGGGTCTGGGCAGCCAGGAAATGAATAAGCAGCTTCTGTCTACAAATGGTGCCCAGAACCTTACCTGTAAACCATGAGCCTCGTGGTAAAATATAAAATAATAGGAATAAGTTAATTTAAGATTAAGAGTTAGTTAATAAGAAGCCTGAGCTAATAGGTCAAGCAGTGTTTTAATTAATACAGTTTCTGTGTTATTATTCGGATCTAGGTGGTTGGGAACCAAACAAGCAGTCTCTGCCTACAGAGATGTCTCTGCTGATTATACCTCTCAGAGGTCCTAGTACAACTGCAGCTCTTAAAATGTTTTTCCTAAAGGGGCATATCCCTTTATTCACATTTAATTGGCCAATGCAAGTCACATGACCTTACTTAACATGGAGGTTAAAGGAGGGCAGAAAGCTACCTTGTTCTATGTGCAACCTATAGATACTACAAAATGTAATCCAGGGACATTTAGATTGTAAACATTTTTCTTTCCTTGCCATTACAAAGAAAAGTGTCTTCTAATTTCTGGGTAAGAGTTTCTTTTTTAAAGAAATATGTAAATATATGTACATACACATGTACAGCAGCCATATATGGGAACAGAATTACACTCATGGGTATGGTGGGATATGGTGCCCTTCAGCTTCCATAGATCTTACCAAATTAGTCACCAAATTACTTGTAAAGTTTACACTCTCCACCCAGTGCTCCATCTCCTCACCCACCCTAGGAGCCAACCAATCCGCAGGGCCTGACTGCTGCATCAGGATGGGCTTGTCTCACCTTTGTTTGTCAAAGGAGCTTTATCTTCCTCTTTCCCTATAGCATCATCTCGATCTCCCTTCTGTGAATTGCCCATTTTTATTTTCTTCTTCTTTCCTCATTACACATTTCTTTCTGTTTTCATCTGTTCCTACACACATCTGTCCATTTTAGCTTGGTTTTCACACAACTAACACTTAAAATTCTGTTCTTTGTTTCCAGCTTCCCTGAGCTCTTCTGTCCATTACTTCTTCCCTTTGGTTCTAAATGGGTAATTAAAGGATGGATTCAAAAGTCTGGTAATATTCTATTTCCTGGTGAGTATATTCATCCTTTCACCCTCCAAACTGACATGTAGAGTACCCATGTGTTTTTCTACACAGCAATATTTGAATTTTTCACACATTTTTTAACATTTATAAAAGTAAGGAAGATGATAGAGTCTCTACTCTGCCACCCCGCAACCAGTGATTATTTCAAATGCTGACATGCTTGGGAGTTGTCTTTGCAAACTCCAGCGTGCAACAATTCCCACCTACTCTGTGTGTTATTGCCTCAACATTTTGGCCCTAGATGATGTGACTTGATCAGTCATGGGCTGTCACAGGCTCCAGCTAACTGGGCCTTGTGTTTCCTGGGAAGTCAGGCCAGGATAGACATTGACAGTTAGGCCTTATAGAAGAAGCCAAGCACAGAACGCATGCTCACACGCCAAGGTACACACACAGACCCACTACACCAGTGTAATCTAATCATGCCCACATTTCTTTCTAAGAGAGACTTTGTTGGAATTCTAATAGCTACTTGGTAGCCAATTCAATCTCTTGTCTCTTAGAGCAAAGCATTAAAACACAGACACCTCTCTTCATTTTCAGTCCTTCTTTTTGGTCTGGATCAACGCAAGGAGCAAATGATACCAGGAAGTGGAATAGGGAGGACAGGATGTGAGTCCAGCAGCCATGGATGATAGCCTCCTGTAAACCATTATGGTATGATAATCACTTCAGGCCTGTTCCAGTCCTTAACATCCAAGTCCGCGAGTTTCCTAAGGGTAGGAACTATTCTTTCTTTTCCCAGTGCTGTACGTGGCTCTGGTACTTCCCCTTATTAACAAAGTTCCTCATCCAAAGCCACAAAAATCTGAAGTTATAGAGGAAAATGGACAAACACTGCTTTCTTGGTGGAAATTTCCTTAGAAAATAAGTCATGATCAACCTCTGGGTCCTGACCTAGACAGAGAAGGGCCAGCGACCTTGGCAGGAGAGCTGCTACGTAAGCATACGACCCTTCTGTCCTCATAATTTCTTTCATCAGAATCCGACCTGTGAACAGGAAGTCCAGCCAGCCACGGCACAGGAAAATATTTTGGACAAGAAACCATTTTGGAGTGCAAAAAGGAAGGAGGGATATAGACTACAGTGTGGCTTTAAAAGACATAAAAGATGTTTTATCTGTTTTGTTTTGGTTTTTGATTTTTCAAGACAGGGTTTCTCTGTTTAACAGCCCTGGCAGACCTGGAACTTGCTTTGTAGACCAGGCTGGCCTCAAAATCACAGACATCTGCCTCTGCCTCCCGAGTTCTGGGATTAAAGTCCTGTGCCCCCACAGCCCAGTTATAAAAGATCTTTTATCTATTTTTCTCAGGCAGTTATTTTTCTTGTTTTAAAATATTTCATACAATATATTTTGATTATATTCTTTCTCCTCTTCCAAGTTAATCGTATTATAGGAGCGGTGGCAGGAGATGTTAGTCCCAAATGTCACTATTAACTATACCAACTAGATGCTATTTCCTCCATTTCAGCAGAAAATACTTGGATTACTAATTCTTGTCCTAGAAATGCAAGCCTCAGCTTGCCTACCTGGCTGGCCTAACACATAGGAGTCGAAATACATTCTGCGGTCTTTGTGTTGGGAAGACTGAGAGAGCGCCCGTACCTGGCTGTAACACATGGACAGTGCGCAGCTGCTCTCCCTAGAGGAATGGGCCACTCCCCGTTTAGAACGTTCATTACTATCTTTCATATGAGCCTGATAAATTTATTAAAAACACCATCTGGATGGGACTCAGCTTTGTGTTATATTTCCAGTCTTCTAGTCTCTTGCCTGGTCCCACTGGAATTTCTGCCCCAATTTGTGTCACTTTGTTTACAAACCCATGTTGCCAGAACCTAGAATCTTTGTCTGTCTCTTCCTGGGTTTCCGCTGCCATCCTCAGCTCCATTCCTATTACAACAGCCTGTGCTGGGAGCAGGAGACA